GTGTGTGTGTGTGTGTGTGTGTGTGTGTGTGTGTGTGTGTGTGTGTGTGTGTGTGTGTGTGTGTGTGTGTGCATTCCCAGCTCCACCCCAGCCTGGCATGCCACGTCAAATCATACGCGAGGAAAAGACTGGGGCCATCAGATGAATTAAAATCTGTTGCTCGCCTCTGTTCCGTCTCCGGCTTACGCATCTCTCCGCCTCGGCCAATCAGGCTGCCCGGAGAGGGGAACTGTGGGTAACATCAGGAGGAGGAGGAGGAGGAGGAAGGGCGGCAGCCTCCGGAGCTGGCAGCCCATCTCCCTTGTCACAGCTGGGAGGGGGGAGTGGAAAGGAGGGGAGGGAGGGAGAGAAAGGGAGGAGGTAATCCAATGAGACACAGAAGGGGAGAGGCAGTAAAGCCAACGCCTCACAGCATCGTCTCCTCTCTACCCCCCCCCCCCTCCGCCGCTTCACTCCACCCTCCTCTTTCTTCTGTCTCAGAAGCGTAAAACAACCAAAGGACTCATTTCCTCTTTCAGTCCTCTGGATGTGAGGTGTCCCATCATATTTGAAGCAGTTCTTTAGATTTTTTTTCTCATCACCTATTTGCTTAAAATCGCTCCTCTGCCAGCTGAAGGATGAGTTGGTGACTGAAATCCAGGATTCTTTGATTTATTTATTTTTYCCACCCTCCTGATTCTTTGGGATGCAGCATCTTTTGCCGGAGTCATCTTTGTTCTYCTGCAGCTGAGTGTACAGTAGCTGCTGTAGTGGGGAAATAGGTTAGTGTGCCTGTTTGGCGTCAGACAGCAGAGGTGACTGCGTGTTGGCGGCACAGAGGACATGAAGAGGAAGGGGATGTCTTCTCCACGGTAGCGTCCTCCAGTCCTGCAGCCGTCTGTGCAGAATGTTTCCGCCCTGCTCCAGCCTTTAGCGGGAGTGTCAGCGGCTAATTTCAGGACAAAGAGAGAAAAAAGGTTGCCAGAGGACAAATACTCTACCTCTTGAATTTTTATTTTTATTTTTAGCTCCAGAACAGGGCTGACCTGTGCGCCTGCTCCGTGCACGCACCATGGACATCAACCTCCAGTCGCATCGATTCTACTTCCCTCAGATCTACTGTGCTGAGCCGGGGGTGCAGCCACAGCTTGCAGAGTTCAAAGTCAGGTAAGGCTTTCAGGGAAATCCATCAGTGAATGGGAATCTGTCGTTTATTAGTGACTGAATCGGATGAAATTGGGTTACAGTCTCATGATTGTATTTCCCAGCGGCGTCCCCCAGCTGCAGCATAAAAGGCAATTCACTGATGCTGTGAGCCGCTTGTTGCCCTTGCAGGGGGATGGGGCTGGATGCTAATGGGTTAGCTAGCTGTGCAGAAAAGTGTCAGGCTCCTGGGAGAACCAGGGGGCCTATTGATGGCCAAAGAAAGAGGCTTGCCAAGTTTGGACAGAGAGGGCTGATAGTGCCTCACTTGTTATATTTCAGAAATCTGTAGCCCTCTTATTGGACGCCTGGCCTGCACGGCTCTTTTGTTCTCTGTGCTTGCACTTTTTCATTCCCCTTTTTGTCACCGTTTCTCTCCAATCAGGGCTGGAAGTGGTCAGGGCGGCTCGCTGCGTCCGCCGCCAAACGTGCCGTCGCGCTTTGCGAAGACGCACGCTCGGACRTGCAACAGCTTCCCCGTTCCTTTGTCTCGTCGAGGTGCAAACTGTGCTGCACGGAGCTGTCCGTCTCAGAACTCAGACGTGTTTGACAGCCCCGAAAACAAGAAGAAACCCGTTCGAGGAGATGGGTTTCCACAACGCTCGACATTTGTCCTTGCACCATCGCCGTTCGTCCGGTCAACGGCGTTGGCAGCTCGAGAAGTCCTGGTAATCCCACGCGCGATACATTAGACGATTTCCCCTCTAACACCTCTGATTAGTGCAGCTTTAAGCGACTCAGCCGGAGTTTTGCCACACTAAGCAGCTTTTAGGTTGGCCAGGCTGCCAGGCTGGTGGAGCAGCTATTTCAGGTTACAGATGTGTCACTGTCACGGCCTGGCAGTACGTCTTGATGGCGCTGCGGGAGTCTGAGRTTGTTGGATGGAACCAGCAGGAGGAAGAAAGGCGCCTGTGTGCTGTTTCGTTTAGTCGAGTCCGGATAAAAAGAAACGGAGAGGATGACATCACTCTCCTGTCATCTTTTATAGACCTGACGACATTTCATCACTTGAGACTGTATTGAACGCTGAAATAATTTGTGTTTGAACATGACTAGTCTTACATCATTTTCCGCAGGAAGCTTTTCTCTGTTTGCCTCTGTGAAGATTAAAACGTGTTTATTTTTTTTCCACAAAACTAATTCAAGCAATCATCTTTCGCAAATCCGATTTTATGCAATTGATACTAATGCAAAGCAGAGAATTTAGAAAACATGTAAACACTGGATACAGATATCGGCCAAGTTACTTTTACTGCATTTATAATCATCACCAGCTTTTTGTTTAACAGAATGATTGAACTTGGAGGGTTTGTAAAAAAGGAGATGGATGGTGTTATACAGCAGCATCGTTATGGTTCATATATATATACTTATATTTTTTTACAAGTTTACACGATTTTCTTTTATTGTATGAACAGCTCCAGACAAACAGCTTTATGAACATCAGTATATTAGCTAAGAAAATACATTTTTCTCCATTGTCAGTGTCTGTAGCAGCATATTTACTTACTAGACATGGGTTTTTACGATGTAAAAACAAGTGTGCATTGCCAYGTAGCATGTCATTGCAGCATGGCTTTGCCTGCAGCATTGGACTTGCAGAATGAACTTTGACCAAATTCAAATGTGTTTTCTATACCAGCTTGTGCCTGTCACGTCAGCAGGTGTTTGTAATTAAGGTAATTGTGTGACAATATGAAGTTTGAAGAGACTTTTTCTTAAAGTTGCATTAGCCAGGTTTTAAACCCTGATCTCCCACATGAAAGTCCATGACATAGACCATTAGACCAATACAGTTGTGGCAGAAGGTGGTGGCAGGGGTTGGTTTGTATGTGTGCAGAAAGAGGCCACATTGCCAATACAATTATTGACATTAAACTGCATAATATTACAATAATAGAGCAGTATTAAGACAATATTATAGTAAAACATCAAAATACAATCATATTAATATTGTAATCACTGAAATACTGATTTTAAATATTATGAAACTATGGTGCAGTACCATATTGTGTAGATGCAGCAGGGGGCAGTATTGRACCAATACAAGGCTCCATTGACTGTCATTATTTTTTTATTAATTAAACATTAACATTTCAAAAACTGTAAGTTTTACAGGCACCAAAAGGCATAGCCATCATTTGGCACAGGGGCTTTACAGAAATAAATTACAATGGCAGCTCTAGGAMAAAGTATGCAGGAGGAGAAGCATGCAAAGTTGAGATGACTTGGATGAGAAACAAATCACAATAGTGTGCATTGCCAATGCACAATATAAAGAGAATATACAATCAGAACTGCAGGCTGTGTTGCACCTCAGGGTTTGATTTGCAGCATTAAGTGCACTGATTGCAGTTTTCTGGCTGATCACCGATCTTTTAAAAAGTCTTACCTGCTGATTCCGATTTTGTCCGATACCAAGGTTTTTTTTAAATAACTGCCACTGTCAGGTGTTATAAGGTCACAATACACCTTCAATGTTCCAATATTATTTTATTGAAAAACACTGAAACTTGAAACAAAATAAACTTGTTTTAACTGAATATTAGGTAGTGCTCACAGCAAAAGGGCACAGTGGCTGATTTTCAGACCTTTGAGGTTGATGAGATGGGTGGATAAGATCGGCTTCTCCGATCTCCCAAAATTAAGAAATCAGGACCGATTGATTGACCTGTCGATTTATCTCTGCGCCCCTCATATTCAGGCTTAACTATTGCTGACTGGATCATTGAAAGTCTACATTCCTAACCTCACCTATGGTCACGAACTCTGGGTAGTGACTGAACAACAAGCCTGCTGTGTTTCTGTAAACAGAATGTGCTGTTACAGCCTGATGAGCAGCACCTGGAAATTACAATTCATGTGTGCATTGCGGATTTTTATCCCCCCGTTACTGCAAATAGAAGCAGGAGCTGATAAATACCTGTTAGTTATTTTGCAGGATTAATGACTGACATTTTATAACTGCACTCAAAAACTCCCATTAGCACAAGTRTTAGTGGGGTTTTTGAGTGTAGAAATGGAGTTTTTGTTGCTAGTTTTACGAAATAATTTTACACGCTTGATGGTACTTTTCTACTTTCTTTGACAAATTTAAGGACAGAAATCATTGTTAAAGATCTTAATGATGAGGCAAATTATTTTTGACCTCTTCTTTATTGAAACTAGTAAATATTTAGTGGTTTAAACATACAGTTAAGAGAATATAAGAGTGAATAAGCTGATAATCTGACAAACCCAGAGGGGGCCAAAAAAGCAAAGTTCATGGTTGGCTTCCTCCTTTTTTAAAGCAATTTTGAAATAGTGTTGGCACAAAAAAGTGCTTATTTTCATCATAGTCATCTTTCACACAAGGTTAAAGGCGCAGTGTGTAGGATTTGTTGTTTTCAGCGACATCTAGTGGTTGAGTGGTTGAATCA